AACCATTTTCAACTTTTGTGCAAAACATGAACAAGAGAGCAAACAATTACATTTACTATACAAATATTACTTGTACATCTATACAATTGTTTTTTAAATATTCAAACAAGATGTATATCCTATGTATATCACATCAAAATACAGTATTTTCATATGATTTTTCTCTTTTTACTCAAATGGCTGGTCCTAAGCCCAAAACTCTACTCAAATTATCAGTCTGTAAATGATCTACACACTAATAATTATGACTCAACATACTCAACATATGAACATACAAAACACATGTATATACAATAGATTACAACTGATATTATATTGCAGAAGAAATTAAAAAATGCATCAATCAATCATGGCTGATATCTAACATCTTCTGAATATTGGTAACTTTCTCTCGTGGCTTCCCAAGTTTGGCCCCTACTTCAGTCTCAAACTTGTCTAGTCTGTTCCAGTCGGAGAAGGTGACCGGATTTTTACCTGTGAAATTTAGCAGATGATGGAAGTTTTAATTGGTGTGAAAATAATATAATTTTATTCATTAATTAAGAATTCACCATTCATCAATTCATTCACTACTGAATAACAATTCAAGCAATTGTTTATAAAAGATCAAAATATCATACATAAAAGACAGAAATATCTTGCACTGATATGAAGTTACTCTACATTATTACTGAGCTATGAGCTGGAATGTCAAAAAAGAAGAGGAAGGGAACTTTAGGTACAATGCAATATTCAGCAATCAATAATCATAAAAAAAGAATTAAAAGAGATTTTAGATACAATTATCATCACAGCTGTTTTCATGCCAATCAAAATATCACTAAAGTAGACATAATCACCACTGACTCATCGCCAACAGTCTCGCCAAACACTTGTATTATAAATTCACTAATATATACCTTACCAGATATAAAAAAGGGAGATCTACAAACCTTTCTTGGATAAAATATCCAGTACTTCTTCTTTACCACCTCTCGCACTGGAAACATCAACTTGACCTGAGTTAATATCGGCCACCAACATCTTTCCACTGGTGAATCCACTCGTCATGGTGGACAGAATGACACCAACCGGCCCAGTGCCAATCCATCCACTGACATAAACTCCATTCTGTCCTTTGACTCTGCCATTATCATTGGCGATTGTGCCTGTGCGTTGATCAAAGGGCAAACTAGAGTCAATGGGGACGCCCTTGTAGCCTATGCTTCTCAGGACAAGCCCACATTCAAGAGTCTCAGTTTCTTCTGTCTGCACTGCACGTTGGTTTTCCCCGTCACCTTCCAGTCTGCCAAAGCATGTGCCATTAACAACTCATTGTAAAAATTGTGGAAAAAGGGAGAAATGGGAATTAATAATTTCACATAGCAAGATGCATCATGAATATTTAGCGATGATGTATATCTTTAAGTATAAAAGTAGGAGCAAGAAAAAACATATAAAAATGTCAAAAACAGAAGAATGTTCATCATTGCAAAACATTAACTACATCAGACAAATACACACAACTGATATTCTAACCTGTTATGTGCTAATTTCAAGCCAGAGAGAGTCTGACCATCAGCTCCTGCAAGAACTTCTACTGGGCTTAACAGAAACCTTAGTCTCCATTCCTTTTGTGCTGATGCCCATGCTGAAGCAAGGGCTGGGGCAGGAGCGTCTAATGCTGTTTTGGCTAACAGTTCTAACAACCTCTTCCGAGGGCGAGGCAAACCTGATTTAGAGTAGTAGGTTGATAAAAATATTAAATCATGATATTCAGCACAAAAGGCATTTAAACTCTCAGCTAATATTTTCTTTTCTTTTGTACAAAAATGGAATGTGTACATATTCCAACTTAAAAAGGCATAGTCTTTTAAATTTACTGTAGTCATTGGTGAAGTGACTAAATGATAAATGTCAACTATGATGATACAACATACTTGGGATCAAATCTTTCAAATGCTGATAGTCGCCTGTAATTAAGTTGGGTCGACAACCTGGCAGGTTGACCATTTCTCGCAGTTCCTTGATGGTAAAGGCAACATTCTGTGGTCCTCTTCGACCTATCAAGGTTACATATTTCACTTGGCTTTTATCAAGGCACGCCAAGACATTTTCAGGAATGTCAGTTTTCTAGAAAAGAAAGGAGAACCATAATGTGTTTCCATTATTTCTACCTTTTACAATGATGATTACAGAGCTGGGTTATAGTAATGATGACCCAGTATATGGTATGAAACTGGTAAACAAGATTGAAAAAATGACTCACACCAAATATAAGCTTGGAAATATATTTTCACTCACCCTTAACATATCCATTGGCGTAAGAAGAATCCTTGCAACATCCAAGGCAACATTTCCTTGTCCAACAACAGCTACAGACTCTACATCAAGGTTTACATTCAGGTCAGCATCTTCAGGAAGCCCATTGTACCATCCAACAAACTGCCTTGCTGACAGTACCCCTGATAATTCTTCACCGGGAATGTTCAGTGTTCTATCTTTTGCATTACCATAGGCCTGGATAGGATTTTTAAGAAATAATATAGGTATTTTCCTCTACATAACATGAATTAGTAGATAACTGCTATGTTAATTGCACAAGAGGAAAAGAATTAATTTTTACTTTTAATCATATACAGAAGAAAATAACTTACCAAAATAACTGCATGATAAGCTTGCCGAAGCTGTGAAAAGGTAACGTCTGAGCCAATATCCACATTGCCCAAAAATGTTACCCTCTTTTTACTTGCAGTCTGGGTAAATGTGTTAATGCAGTTCTTCACTTCTGGATGATCTGGAGCAACACCATATCGGACTAACCCAAAAGGAACCGGCAATTTTTCATATATGTCTACTTCTGCTGTCTCATGACTCTGATAATAAAAAAAGTTTTAAATGTAAAAAAATTTAAAAAGCATGGCATATTTTTTTCTGTTATAAAATGTAAATAAGTTGTTTTAAATTATAATCAAAGGATTATCAATATGATAAAAAATAAGGATATTTACCTACACTTCATTAAATTTATGTAAATATTAGAAAAAAAGTATGGATTATAAATTTCTACAAACAAACCTTTATAATTTGTTGTGCTGCATAGAACCCTGCTGGGCCACTGCCAACTATGCATACTTTTGGAACATGTGCAGTACTTGTTGCTGCACTGGTCGAAAAGCGACATGCTGCCAAACGACTAACACCCAATCTCAGCAACATGTCTGGAATTTCATTGGTGTAACCATAAGAGCAATTCAAGGAACAAATATATATCTTTAATTTTATAAATAGTTTACATAAATTACACAAACAAATCTTGAATCCATTTACAATACAAATAACTAAAATGAGCCCTATTCTACCTCCATCATACTGGTTTTGTTATAATTGGAAATGACACCAAACATTGAAACTCCAGAATCTGACCTTACCAGAACATACCAATCCAAGAAAAAAATCATTGTAATTTCTGCTGCAAGCTGATAATAAAGACATTAGAGGTTCAAACCCCATGAATTTTAGATCAATCAAGCACATTTTCCTCCTCATGAAAGTATGCAAAAATCAGAAATGGCAGTAGTAGTGACCTTTGCAAGGGAAATCAAATGAACAGGTAGCAGTCCTAATAAACCAGATTTATAGCAAATGATGTAAGCGAGGGAAATCAAATGAGCCAATTACATTTCTGCTGAGACATGACATGACCATAGGCAGTGATGTCCAGCGCTTAAGCAAGAAGCTCTTCCTTGTCCCCCTAGTTGAGCCCCTAAGCATGAACCATGATGCCGAAACCCTCCTACTTCTAATAACGTAATATATTCTTATTGGATCTGTCATCATAAGTGACAGATGGACTGCATGTCTAACTATGAGCAAGCACAGCTACAATCATCAAGTCACAAACTACACTGTGTACTTTGTGGATCCCGAAAACCCAGAGATTCACACCAAGAACATTGAGAGGATGTGGCGAGATGTAAAGGAGTGGAGCAAGAGACCAGGTAATCAGCAAGAATTCTACAAACAACCCATTGGTCAATATCTGTTTCTCCACTAGTATAAGATAGATGTAGTTCATCATCAGTTCTTCACTGAGGCTGTGAAACTTTACCCTCCACTGTTCAATAAGGAGCATTGGATATCGATCATGATTCCCGCCAATAATGACCCGTACGACCCAAGGATTCCAGTGACCCGAAGCCTGACCCGTCTGGAGTTGATGCTTAATTAGAGAATTATACCGTTCATCGGAAAATCGACGTGGGGCGTCTCCTCCCAAATTTGCCCTATCTTGGATGTAATTGGAGGGTATGATAGGTTAGGTTTGGATTTTCGGTTCGCATGATACCCTGGTTTGGGATTTTGAGTCTGGAGTTGCATAACCCTCCGAAACTTTAATCATCAAATTGTGTAGAACTTGAGTAATTATCAAGGGGCATGTGCACCCGGTAGCAAATACCAATTAAACGAACTACTAACACATCTGAGATTATGCTAACCTCTATTATTGAAGCTTCAGGAAAGAAAAGGCTACCGTGGCACCGACTTCGTAAGGTCGTATGTTTACAAACACTCCCGTTTTTGTAACTCGTTCGCGCGATCCGGATTCGTGAACGCTTGTGAATCCGGATTTTCTCAAGGAAAATGATTTTAAGAAAACCCGTGATAGATTATCTTGTTTATCAACTTGGCCCTATATTACATCATCATTACACAAATATTTGCTACGGATTTATGAAATGTTTATCTCATTCTCATATCTAGGTTTTCTGCTCCAAAATAGGGACAAACTACAACTGAATAAATACCAACCATCACCTACCTGTTTATTTCCAATTAATCAGAAAAAAAACAGTCATCAACTGACAAATTTATTCAAGTTCCCGTTTCTTGGCAGAACAATCCTACACATCAACATACGAGTCTTTCATATAACAATCTGAACCTAAATAGCAATTTGAGAATCAGAATGTCGGTCAGTCTCTGGAAAGCTGTTTCGGGTCAGAGCAGCGCGACTGTACTGGGGAAGGTTGCAGTGTCACGGTGACTCCACACAATGAGACAATGGCTATAACCTGCTAGGTCTTCAGGGTCATTTCTCCTTCTCTCCGGTGCGCATGGAAGTACAGGAATATACAAAGAAAACATGCACACTTACACGGTCTTTGGTACACACATATACCCGCAAACACTCGCACATTAATGGTTGTTATATTACATGTTTATACGTATGTCTATCAAATCCATTGATAAATTTATATATGAATGGATATCTATACATATTCATACATAACCACATATCGATAGCCCCTCCCTTACATTTGTTTGATTGATGATGATACCTCTTGCACGCACACGCGCGCGCTTGCATGCACGTACAAGTGAATGCACGAGTGGCCCCATATATATGTATACATATATATATATATATATATATATATATATATATATATATATATATATATATATATATGTATGTATATATATACATATATATATATATATATATATATATATATATATATATATATATATGTGTGTGTGTGTGTGTGTGTGTGTGTGTGTGTGTGTGTGTGTGTGTGTGTGTGTGTGTGTACATATAATAGATATGTAAATATATGTATATATATATATATTTGATATATTTATATAAATATATTTATATAGGTAAAATTATCGATGCCTCCTACCTCACACACACACACATGCGCGCGCGCGCGTATATATGTGTGTATGTGTGCGTGAGTGCATACGCGCGCGCGCGTCTACATCTCTCTCTCTCTTATATATATATTTATATAATATATATATTACTTATCTATCTATCTATCTATCTATCTATATATATATATATATATATATATATATATATATATATATATATATATATTATACATGCGTAACGTAGTGCAATGTCGTTTCCACAGGACACGAAAGACAAAGGCAACAGCTGTCACGCCCCAAGGACAGTCTCTCCCTCGATCATGCAGATAAGATTACGCCCAGGGTGTTTACAGCAGCACCGCGCCCTCGTGCGAATGCGTGTTTGAAAATGTTTGACCTAATTTCCATCACGGTTATTTTACGAACATCCCATAATTAAGAGAGCAGTGTTACTTGATTAATTTTGGATGAGTTTGTTGCATTAACGGAAGAGAAAATGAAAGTTAGAAATCTTGGTCTTCCTGCATAAAGTACAATTGGAAAAGATACAGGCATATGCAAATGGCATTGTAGATGCACAGGCATTGTGTGTTCGTGTGTATATATGTATGTGAGTGTGTGTACACACACACACACACACACACACACACACACATACATATATATATATATATATATATATATATATATATATATATATATATATATATATATATGTATGTATGTATGTATGTGTATATATATACACACAAACATATATCTATATGTATATGTATATCTATCTATCTATATATATATGTGTGTGTAGGTATATATACATATGTAAGGTATATACATATATATATACTTATATATGTATATGTACACACACACACACACACACACACACACACACACACACACACACACACATATATATATATAGATATATAGAAAGAGAAGAAAGGGGGGAGAGGGAGAGGCAAAAAGAGATCAAAGCAGATACAGAGAAAGAACGAGAAAGATAGAAAGACCCCTACAAACACTCAGGCAGACAAAAAAAATATGTATATATATATATACATACATATATGCATATATATATGTGTGTGTGTGTGTGTGTGTGTGTGTGTGTGTGTGTGTGTCTTACTATCATTTTATCATTTATCTAACCGAACGCTTTTTACACCTAGAAAACATTATCAAAAGTGTTTACAAGGTTAGAGAAACCGCAGGTGAGATTGAAAACATGACATAATGCTTAATAACTTGAAAGATGACGGTATACCATCAAGGAACATATAACTAGGTAACTCCACTTCCATTAAGCCTGTTGAACCCAAATGATAAATCGACTTTTTCTCAAGGGTATTCTGACGGCTGTAAATGATAGGAAACTTCTCGTTATTGTAAATAAAAAATGGGGAACGTTTGTTTTACTTCTGGCAATTATAACATTAAACAAATAATTATGTATCTAGCTATATTTGATATCTCACGGCGCACTCTCATTGGCGAATCGTGATGACGTCATTACCTCCGCCTCTTTATTTGACCCGGTCGGCCTGTGCAAAATTCTATTTTTTTTTCTTTTTTGTGCATTTTCTTTGAACATGTTTTAGTAATGCGAGGGGGCTCCAAAAAGTCCATGGGAAAACGACAGTACGGAAAAACGGTTTCAGTTATGATGTCTATATCTCAACATATGCTCCATTAAGGTCAATACACTTCCAGGGCGTTTTTCTATTTTTTTTTTTTTTTTTTTTTTTTTTACAGTTTTCCCAAAATGCATTCATAATAAACAGATGTAATTGTTTTCCTGCTGTCGAGGAAGTCAACCAGCAAAATCCCCTCTGCATCCTAGAAGACAGTCATGATCTTTCCTCTTGATCGTTCAGATTTTGCTTTGACTGGTCCACTTCCACCCCTGAGCAGCCACTGTTTTGATTGAATTTTGTCCTCGGGATTGTACTGGAAGAGCCATGTTTCATCCCTTGTCATAATTCTCAGCAGAAAAAACTGAGAGTCCTCATCCCACTTGTTTAAAACTTCCATTGAGGAAGCCATTGAGTGGAAAGCTTACTTAACCCCAAACTCTTTTCAATCATGTCACGAACTGCATCAATGTTTTCCTCACAAACTGACGTTGATGGCCTGCCACTGCGAGGCACATCTTCAATTTCGTTTCTTCCACTTCTGAACTAACTTATCCATTTGTAGGTTGTTGATTTTAATTATTATTGTTACTGTGATCATTATTATCATTATTACAATGATCATTATCATCATTATTACAATGATCATTATTATCATTATTACAATGATCATTATTATAGATATTACTATTATTATGATTATCACTACCTTTATCATCATCATCATTATTACTATCATTATTATTATAATCCACTTATCTCCATCTTCATTAATATTGTTACTATATTGTCATTTCTGTATATAATATTTCTATCACTCTTACCTTTATCATTATTACTACTATTATTGTTGTTTGTATTGTTACTACTTTGTTATTAATACTATCATCGCTGTTATCTCTATCATTATCTTCATTATCACAATCATAATCATTATTAGTATTATTACTATTATCATTATTATCAACATTATCATCATCACCTTTATTATCATCTTCTCTCTCTCTCTCTCTCCTCTCTCTCTCTCTCTCTCCTCTCTCTCTCTCTCTCTCTCTCTCCTCTCTCTCTCTCTCCTCTCTCTCTCTCTCCTCTCTCTCTCTCTCTCCTCTCTCTCTCTCTCTCTCTCCTCTCTCTCTCTCTCTCTCTCTCCTCTCTCTCTCTCTCTCTCTCTCCTCTCTCTCTCTCTCTCCTCTCTCTCTCTCTCTCTCTCTCTCTCCTCTCTCTCTCTCTCTCTCCTCTCTCTCTCTCTCCTCTCTCTCTCTCTCCTCTCTCTCTCTCTCTCTCTCCTCTCTCTCTCTCTCTCTCTCTCTCTCTCCTCTCTCTCTCTCTCTCTCCTCTCTCTCTCTCTCCTCTCTCTCTCTCTCCTCTCTCTCTCTCTCTCCTCTCTCTCTCTCTCTCTCCTCTCTCTCTCTCTCCTCTCTCTCTCTCTCTCTCTCTCCTCTCTCTCTCTCTCTCTCCTCTCTCTCTCTCTCTCCTCTCTCTCTCTCTCTCTCTCTCTCTCTCCTCTCTCTCTCTCTCTCTCCTCTCTCTCTCTCTCTCTCCTCTCTCTCTCTCTCTCCTCTCTCTCTCTCTCTCTCTCTCTCTCTCTCCTCTCTCTCTCTCTCTCCTCTCTCTCTCTCTCCTCTCTCTCTCTCTCTCCTCTCTCTCTCTCTCTCTCTCCTCTCTCTCTCTCTCTCTCTCTCCTCTCTCTCTCTCTCTCCTCTCTCTCTCTCTCCTCTCTCTCTCTCTCTCTCTCTCTCTCCTCTCTCTCTCTCTCTCTCCTCTCTCTCTCTCTCTCCTCTCTCTCTCTCTCTCTCCTCTCTCTCTCTCTCTCTCCTCTCTCTCTCTCTCCTCTCTCTCTCTCTCTCCTCTCTCTCTCTCTCCTCTCTCTCTCTCTCTCTCTCTCTCTCTCCTCTCTCTCTCTCTCTCTCTCTCTCCTCTCTCTCTCTCTCTCTCCTCTCTCTCTCTCTCCTCTCTCTCTCTCTCTCCTCTCTCTCTCTCTCTCTCCTCTCTCTCTCTCTCCTCTCTCTCTCTCTCTCCTCTCTCTCTCTCTCCTCTCTCTCTCTCTCTCCTCTCTCTCTCTCTCTCTCTCCTCTCTCTCTCTCTCTCTCTCCTCTCTCTCTCTCTCTCTCTCTCCTCTCTCTCTCTCTCCTCTCTCTCTCTCTCTCTCTCTCTCTCCTCTCTCTCTCTCTCTCCTCTCTCTCTCTCTCTCTCTCTCTCCTCTCTCTCTCTCTCTCTCTCTCTCTCCTCTCTCTCTCTCTCTCTCTCTCCTCTCTCTCTCTCTCTCTCTCTCCTCTCTCTCTCTCTCTCTCCTCTCTCTCTCTCTCTCTCCTCTCTCTCTCTCTCCTCTCTCTCTCTCTCTCTCTCCTCTCTCTCTCTCTCTCTCTCTCCTCTCTCTCTCTCTCTCCTCTCTCTCTCTCTCTCTCTCTCTCTCTCTCCTCTCTCTCTCTCTCTCTCTCTCCTCTCTCTCTCTCTCTCTCTCTCTCTCTCTCCTCTCTCTCTCTCTCTCTCTCCTATTTATTATCATCAACTTGACCTTTATCATTATTACCACTGTCATTATTATCCTTGTTTTGTTGCCATTGCTGTTGTTATTATTGCTACTTACCATCATTATTATCATCAGCTACAAAATATGATCATAATCATCACTGTCAGATCTTTAAATAACAAACATTAACATAACCCTATTTATTCTTACTGATATTTTAGCTAAACTGATACTATGAATATTCACAGTAGGT